AGGGACAGCCACAGAATCTGTTTGGTTGATTTCCAGACACAGACAGTGACCACAGTAAACTTCTAAGGGACAAAACTGCTGAGGCCTCTACAGATGATAAGAAAATGTAGTTTTAATGGGGGGTTTTAACATTAACAAAATTAATTGGAACAATTGGACAGGAAATATTAAAGTCTAGCTGCTGCTTTCTAAAACTTTTTTTTTGTCAGAACTAACTAGAGATACATCATTTGACTTGGTTCTGGTAAACATAAGAATCTTTGATAAATGATCTTGAGGTTAACGAAGAGCTTGGAGAAGCGATCATAAATCACTTTGTTTCAATATCTCATGGAATTACTTTAATAACAATCACAAAATCAGTGTCTCCAATTATCGCACTGCAGATTACATGAACTTAAGAGAATGCGTGAGTACTGTAGATTGTGATAACCTAACCGGAGATTATCATGGGGAGACCAGAAGGACGGTGGTGACGGATATCAGAAAGACTTTTTTCCAAAGCGTTGTCCAAGTCACCAAAGCTTCATATATTACTAATATAAAAATTAAATTAAATATAAGTAATCCTAATGGATGAGCAATAGACCAAAACATCTGGGTAAAAAGAAAGGCATTTACAGGCGATTCGAGAGACCGTCACCTTATCCACCTATATTCAATTTATGAAGAAAAAAAAAGAATAATAAAAACCAAAAGAAAATGGGAAATGAAGTTTACGAGTGAATCCAAGACCAACCCAGAGTTTATTTTAGATATATAGGAATAAGATCAGGTAACAAAGAAATGCGCACAATTTTTAATATTTATTTCCTCTCGTTTTAAACAAAAGGATACAAATGAAATTCTAGAGAACAATAATTATACAAGATCAAAGTTACAAGCGACATGGTCCTCAAACAACTTAGCAAACCATTAGTTAGTCGCTTCAACAACACACTACAAACAAGTATCATATCGGATAAGATGAAAATGGCAAATGTGATATCTATTTACAAGACCAATTAGCCTTACCTCAAATGTGGGAAAGTTGACAAAATCAATAATTGCTGATGCAATTCGAAGCCATATTCTTGAAAGATATAATATGATTAATGAATCTCAACACGGTTATACAAAGAGGCGTTCTTGCCTTACCAATTACTAACATTTTTCTTGGCTGCATGTCAAGGAGTACGGATAGTAAAAGTCCTAAAATTATGCTTCAACTTTATATATCTTTTGTAAGGGCTCACTTAGATCATGCTGCTCGGTCCTGGACATAAATACTCCGCAAAATATGCAGAGGATGTTTCAAAAACCTTTCTTACAAAGACAGGCTGAAGGCACTGAAGCTGCACTTTCTGGAAAGATGTAGAATTAGGGGCATATGATAGAAGTGTACGAACGGAAAACAGGAGAAAACCTATTGTAAATAACCTGCTACGAGCATCTAACCATGACAGGACTCGCAGCAATGGATTGAAGATGGACAAATTTAGATTTAGAAAGGATATAGGGAAGTACTGATTTAGCAATAAACTTGTGGATAAATGGAACAAACTCCCAAGTAGCGTTACTGAATCGAGAACACTGAGTAGCTTTAAATATAGGTTAGAAGGGTACATGTGTGGGTGAGCTGGACCTGCCTAGTATAAGACAATAAGTCTACAGTAGTGTTCCTTCATTCTTATGTTCTTATTTACCCATACCCTAACTTCAACAGTAAGCACTCTCCATTACATATCCGGACATGCGAAGTACCCGTGAGTCAGAAATGGCAGCAAATACCGGCAATTAAGTAAATAATACACAAGTCAAGAACAACAGTACAAGTACAGTATCGTTCACTGGGAGTCTTTTCCAGTGTAAATGACTAACAAAGCTCTCATTGTTAGTGTTACATTCTGTCTTATTTACGTGAAATACATGTACCAGGTCTCTAACACTTCACCACTGATTAGGTTAAAAATACCACAAGAGGAGAACTATCAGGTTCTACTCTGGGTGTGGATTACCAGAGCACCAACTGATCTGCGCAACAACATTGTAATCTCTGGTTAAGATAAGTTAGCCTAAACTATCCCAAAGTTATTTATAATTAAGATAACGAAGCTAATATTGAAGAAAATTTTTTTCAGAGATCCGATAAGTTGATGACAGAGACACATGTGCAACACTTGGTTATCTTTATTGCGGAAACGTTTCGCCATCAAGTGGCTTCCTCAGTCCGGTACAGAGATGAATGGTGGAAGATGAGAAGAAGATTGAAGCAATCAGTCCCTTAGCCTTGAGTCAATGTGTTCAGTCTATCAGCCTTAAGTCAATGTGTTCAGTCTATTAGCTTTGAGTCAATGTGTTCAGTCTATCAGCCTTAAGTCAATGTGTCCAGTCTATCAGCCTCGAGTCAATGTGTTCAGTCTATTAGCCTTGAGTCAATGTGTTCAGTCTATTAGCCTTGAGTCAATGTGTTCAGTCTATCAGCCTTAAGTCAATGTGTCCAGTCTATCAGCCTTGAGTCAATGTGTTCAGTCTATCAGCCTTGATCAAAATTGAGAGACTAAACATATAAACTCAAGGCTGAGGGACTGATTACTTCAAACTCCTCATCATCCACCACTGACCTCTGTACAAGACTGAGGAAGCATTGGTGAAAGGTTTTCACAATAAAAATAACCAAGTGTTGCACAACGCTAATGTTGGCAGCTATATATCAGCCCCTAGAGCGTTGATACCCTCACTGTTTAATCTGGACGACGGGTTGTAATCTTAGCACACACACACACACACTCAGTAACCTCAGATGTGGGGAGCACAGAGGATGCTGGTCGTTAGTTAAATTATCTCTTGTCTTTTGTTGTAGAAAAAGTTATGCTTTTGTTGTCAGTATGTTAATTATTAAGGCACCTTTCTTGAAGGGATTTTTCTAATATATTCAAAATGCCCTAATATAATAATATAATTACGTTTAATCTGCACTGTATAAATCTTAGGGAAAGTTTTAAACACCCATATGAAAAAAAATTGAAGCGAATAGGAGAGTAGGTTATCCAAGGAAGTGGTGAGAACGAACTTAAATCTGGTAAATATTCTAGTGACTGCTATCGAGGAAGTTCCAGATGAACCTTTATGATATAAGTTTATTGGGTTAGTTTTTGTACATCCTACTTCCCTCCACACACACACACATACACACGCACACGCACACACACATACACAGTGGGCGCCTGTGACGAGCGGGGTCCCACAGGGGTCAGTTCTAGGACCAGTGCTATTTTTGATATATGTGAACGACATGATGGAAGGAATAGACTCTGAAGTGTCCCTATTCGCAGATGATGTGAAGTTGATGAGAAGAATTAAATCGGATGAGGATGAGGCAGGACTGCAAAGAGACCTGGACAGGTTGGACATGTGGTCCAGTAACTGGCTTCTCGAATTCAATCCAGCCAAATGCAAAGTCATGAAGATTGGGGAGGGGCAAAGAAGACCGCAGACAGAATATAGGCTAGGTGGACAAAGACTACAGACCTCATTCAGGGAGAAAGACCTTGGAGTGACCATAACACCGAGCACATCACCGGAGGCACACATCAACCAAATAACTGCTGCAGCATACGGGCGCCTGGCAAACCTGAGAATAGCGTTCCGATACCTTAATAAGGAATCGTTCAAGACATTGTACACTGTGTATGTTAGGCCCATACTGGAGTATGCAGCACCAGTCTGGAACCCACACCTGGTCAAGCACGTCAATAAGTTAGAGAAAGTACAAAGGTTTGCAACAAGGCTAGTCCCAGAGCTCAGGGGAATGTCGTACGAGGAAAGGTTGAGGGAGATAGGACTGACGACACTGGAGGACAGAAGGGTCAGGGGAGACATGATAACGACATACAAGATATTGCGGGGAATAGACAAGGTGGACAGAGATAGGATGTTCCAAAAAGGGGAAACAGGGACAAGGGGTCACAACTGGAAGCTGAAGACTCAGACGAATCACAGGGACGTTAGGAAGTATTTCTTCAGTCATAGAGTTGTCAGCAAGTGGAATAGCCTAGCAAGTGAAGTAGTGGAGGCAGGAACCATACATAGTTTTAAGAAGAGGTATGACAAAGCTCAGGAAGCAGAGAGAGAGAGAGGACCCAGTAGCGATCAGTGAAGAGGCGGGGCCAGGAGCTGAGTCTCGACCCCTGCAACCACAATTAGGTGAGTACAATTAGGTGAGCACACACACACATACACACACACACACACACACCACTAGTGGATGCGTCTGACTCACAGTCGCGAGTTCCCGGGTTCGATTTCTTGGGGCAAGAAACCTTTGGACAAGTTTCCTTACATCTATGCTCACCTAAGATAAGATAAGATTTCGTTCGGATTTTTAACCCCGGAGGGTTAGCCACCCAGGATAATCCAAGAAAGTCAGAGCGTCATCGAGGATTGTCTAACTTATTTCCATTGGGGTCCTTAATCTTGTCCCCCAGGATGCGACCCACACCCAGGTACCTATTTGCTGCTAGGTGAACAGGACAACAGGTGTAAGGAAACGTGTCGAAATGTTTCCACCCGCCGGGAATCGAACCCGGGGCCTCCGTGTGTGAAGCGGGAGCTTTAGCCACCAGGCCACCGGGCCACCTGATGCAGTAAAATTAACTACCTGTGTGTCAGCCGACTGCTTTGTTGCATCCGGGGGAAAATATGTTAGAAAACCCCAGTCCTGATGGAAGTATTGAATTACTGGTAAAAGAAGGTGTTCCTGTACCTAATGATTCTAATTAAAACTGATGTCAGGTAAAAGGACACAAGTGCAACTGATGTGACATTTTATTGTGGCAACGTTTCGCTCTCCAGGAGCTTTATCAAGCCGTTACAAACAATACATGGACAGATTTTTTCTTTATCAACGGCTTGACAAAACTCCTGGAAAGCGAAACGTTGCCACAATAAAATGTCACATTAGTTGCACTTGTGTTATCTATTATAATTCTACCAATATAATACAAAACTAATTCCCACAGGAATGAAGAGACGCCAGTAGACATTGAAGATCAGTGGAAGGCGATAACAAGAGAAGATTGATCAAATACCAAGAAGTCAATTCATCACCTCATCACCACTACTACCCACATCAACAACACACCATCACCACCTACACACTATAACCACCACCACAAAAACACCATAATCACCACCACCCACATTATAACCTTCACTACCACTATCATTCACACATCACCAGCACCGGCAGCACCACTCACACGTTCATATAATCACCATCACCACATCAAAACCACCTCATCACCACCATCACCTCTACCATTTCAGGGGAACCTGAATCAAAATGATGAGATACCCAACAATGCTGTATTTAGCTGCAGGTTTACTGCTCCTCCAGATGGGTGAGTGCTCAAGCAGTACCTTATCACCATTTGTTTTCGTTTAAGTTTCTTTTTTTTGGTGTTTTCTTTCAAAGTCATTCGAACTAGGTTATCCAGGATAAGTTATTTCAACTTGTTTATCCATACTAAGTTATTCCAACAATATTATCCCAACTAAGTTACTTCAACTAGGTTATCACAATAACTGTAGGTTATCCCAACTGCGTTATTCCAACTAGGGCTATCCCAGCTAAGTTACTGCAACAAGGTTATCCCAGCTAGGGCTATCCCAATTAGGGTGATATCAACTAAATTCATAAAAGATGCAGTTTGACAAGTAATGTTTTAGTCAAGCTTTGTTTTTTATAATACTCCAAGACTACTTCTGACAAACAAGAATTCTATGACTGTCAGGTTAAAGAGCAGCTTACAGAAAGTGATTACAAATTAATGTTTTAATATCTCAAGGAATTACCTCAAAAATTTTTCGCGTTGCAGATGATACGGCATAAAGGAATGCTGAGTAGTGTAAAGTGGGGTAACCTAACTATGGACTATCGTGAGGGAGACCGAAAAGGCAGTGATGGTTGCAAATGTGATATTTTCCAAAGCACTGTACAAACATGAATAACCCTAAATGATAAAGCTCCTGGAGAGCGAAACGTTGCCACAATAAAAATGTCACATTAGTTGCACTTGTGTCCTTTTACTTTACAAAAAATACTCAGATATACCTTGAGTGAAAAGAAAGACATTTACAGGCGAATCAAAAGAAGTGAGGGGCCACCGTTTTGAACAATGAATTCAATTTAAGAGAGAAGTCAAAACAGAAATAAGAAAAGCCAAAAGAGAATATGTGAGATAATGAAAGACCATTCTTAACTGTTTCTTTCAGGTATACAGGAATAAGATTCTGGAAAAGATTGGCCCACTTAAATGTAACTCAGGTCAGCTTATTGTTAGTAACGAAGAAATGTACCATTGTTTTTACACAGAAGAATACAAACGAAATCCCAAACATCAATAATTATACTGGTCACGACGAAAAAAATAATGTTATATTAAAGCCGCTAGCGACATGAGCCTCAAACAACTAGATAAACTGAAGCCAAACAACTCACAGATTTTAAAGGAATTTATGAAGAAAAAGTTTGTGGTAGTATGCTGAGGTATATCACCACAAACAGGTATTGTAACTGATAAATAGAAAATGGTAAACAGGTCTTTAGCTTCCAATTATAGACTCATCATTCTAGCTTCAATTGTGGGATACTTGATGGAATCAATCATTAATGATGCAATTCGAAGTCAATTCGAAAGAAATAATTTGATCAACGAATCTCAGCACTGTTTTATAAAGGAACATTCTTGCCTTATGAATTTACTAACCTTTTTCACTATGGGGTTTTAGAGAATCTGAAATAGATAAAGGAGAAAGGAAAACTGAAAATAAAATCGAAGTTTTAGGGAGTTTTTAAATTAAACGAGTATAAACTTTTCTATTTTCGAAACATTGTGTGGTAGACCAAGATAAAGAATTCATTGTATATATGGACTTCAGTAAAGACTTTGATAAAGTTCCATGATAGAGGATCAACTCCTCATGGACTGGGCCATGAGGGAGTTGACCCTTGAACACCCTCCTGGCAGACTCCCCACCCTCAAGACTAAGGACCTATATGAGCAACGCATGCACATTACATTAATGGAGAACAGTTAAACTCGTAGAGGACATACAGCGCCTCGGAATGGGACGTCATTAGGTTTAACTCCTGGAAGCTGAGAAGACCTATAATTGCTTGGAGCAACAGCATCAAGACACTTTTGATCGGTCACATGCACTCACCCAGTATATCTCAACTATATTTTTTTCAACACAAGAATACGTGGGAAAACTCAGTGATAATTAAAATTAATTCAATATAATGAATTAATTTTATAAATTTATTTTATATAATTAAACAATTTTATAAATAATTTAATAAAATTAATTTTATATAATTAATTTTATTTAATTAGTTCATTTTATACAAATATATCAATGGGGAAAAGCTATATTTTTACAGGGCGTGCAAAACAGAAGAAAAGTAGTCTAAAATAAACTGAAGAACACAGGAAAAAACAGGGTTACGTTCCTTGGGCCCCCAAAAAATGGTAAACAACTTTTTTTATAGGTCTCCAAATTGTAAACAAATAAAAATGATTATGTAATTGCAGCTGGTTGTAGAGATGTATTGCATTCAATGCATTGCTTAAGACTACAAATGTTCCATAAAAATACTTCTTAACTTAAATTGTGGTTTCTGGTGTATGTCGATGATTCAACAGTTTAGAGGGATGTTGTGGCTCTACTGGGCTGAGGCTCTGGCTCTAAAGTCGATGACTTTACTGAGAAGTGAGAAATTTTGAAATGCATCTCTGGTCTCTTTTTACCCTGCAGCACTTTATAAAGCTAACAGTAAGACATTATCAGCTCTAGACCCTGTTTCAGAGGAGTGCTTCTAGATTTGTTAGGGTCCTCTTCAGTGAAAAAGTCTACTAGTTTAGTAGCAACATGGAACAGCTCATGTAATTGTAGCAATGTTAACTGTTATTCTTCAGGTTCTTCCTCTGTTATCTGCCTCCCTTGTATCTGTGCACTGAGCTCTGCCAACATTTCCTCTGGACTTCTGTCTTCATCATTTCCTAAATGCTCGTTCACATCATCTTCCTGCATATCTTCAAAGTCATCACCGGTAATCTTGCCAGCTGAACTATTTCCTGCACCTGACTCTTAAGCGAGGGAAAAACCTGCAGAAGTATTCACCACATTAGGCTACAACTTTCCCCAGGCTGCATTTAATGTTGATTGGGACACCTCATTCCATGCACTTCTAACATAGCTGATGGTATTAAATACTTGCTGTGGCTCATAGCCATCCTCGGAAATAATTAAGCAGGGAAATTACTTGCTGCGGTGTGATCAGCTGAAGCACTTTATTTATTTATTTATTTATTTATTAATTTGAACATGATACAGAGTACAAAAGAATACAGTTAAATGCAGCATGCCAAAGCCACTAGAATGCATAGCATTACGGGCAGGCTTAAAATTAACTTAAGATTAACTAAGCAATGAAGTATTCAGTGGTAAAACATTATTGTAAACAGATAACAGGCACAAATGAGTATTACAAAAACAGGTCGTATGGTTGCTTGCATTGCTGTACAACCAGTATTTATTTATTTATTTATTTATTTATTTATTTATTTAATTTGAACATGATACAGAGAAATACAAGGAATACAATTTTTAAAGTGCAGCATGCCAAAGCCCCTTGTATGCAGAGCATTATGGGCAGCTTAAAATTAACTTAAGATTAACTTAGCAATGATATATTCAGTGGTACAAAAATTATTGTAAAACAAATAACAATTTAGTACAAATGAGTATTACAAAGACAGGTCATATGGTCATTTACTGTGTTGCTGTGTAATCAGTAGAATGGAGTATTATGTTAGGTAATGAAGTTAAATAGTAACAAAGTTTGATTGGGTAACAGGTTGACATTTATGAGATACAATAATGAGATACATATATGAGATACAATTTATGAGATACAATTATTCAGTATTTATTTGGTTGTGGGTGAGTAAGTGATTTTTGAGAAGAGACTTGAATTTATAAACAGAAAGTGTTTCTTTTATATTCACAGGTAATGAATTCCAGATTTTAGGGCCTTTTATGTGCATTGAGTTTTTGCATAGCGGAGAATTTAAAATTATGTAGCCTATTAAGCAACTTGAACTAGTGGAACCAACCAGTGATAAACACACCCTTGTTCAGGCCTTCCTTAGTCATCACACTCTGTTTTATAATAAGTACTCTATGGTTTTCCTCTATTAAGATGAAATTAAGTGGTGCACTTTTTTTTGTTCAATCCACTCAGTCAATAAGTTTTCTGTTTCATATAACTGTTGTGACCAACGGTGGATCAACTATGAAACTAATGAAGCTTAAGCTGAGCCCCAGACGTGACTTTAGCCCACACTGCGTAAAAATTTTGGGTCTACTGCATGAGAAAGGCATTTTAAAAGAAATAATAATATAGTATAATTCAATACAAAATAATAATTTAAAATTAAAGGTTATTAAATTACCATGTAGGGTAGCCGCTGCTGGTTGCCAAGGGGTCCCCATAACAGTTCAAGCTTCAGGGGCCACAAAAATGTTGTGACCTATGTGTTATTCTTTGCAAGTGACAACCTGCGTTATTCATTACACAAACTCGTATATTTGAATCATTCCTTTTAACTGCACGACTGACACTCTTGCCGTCTCCTCCACAACGCGTGCACCACTTTATGCTTATCAATATCTTGACTTTCTTCATAACACCAAAACATGAACGCATAAACTTTTTCTTGCCACTTCCAACATTATTCTCGGTGCCATGCTTACTATGCAGATGCACGACATGGTAATGAAAAGATCTAAAATCGATTCAAAAACACAGATCTGAGAGTCATATAGGACACGTATGTATGGACCACCGAGGCGTGAAAGGTGGGACGGTGAAGGCAGGGACCAAGGTGTGAGAGGGACGGTGAAGGCAGGGACAGACGCGTGAGAGGAGGGACGGTGAAGGCAGGGACAGAGGCGTGAAGGGAGGGACGGTGAAGGCAGGGACAGAGGCATGAAGGGAAGGACGGTGAAGGCAAGGACCGAGGCGTGAGAGGAGAGAAGGTGAAGGCAGGGACAGACGCGTGAGAGGAGGGACGGTGAAGGCAGGGACCGAAGCGTGAGAGGAGGGATGGTGAAGGCACTGACCGAGGCGTCAGGAGGGACGGTGAAGGCAGGGACCGAGGCGTGAGATGAGGGGCGGTGAAAGCAGGGACAGAGGCGTGAGAGGAAGGACGGTGAAGGCAAGGACCGAGGCGTGAGGAGGGACGGTGAAGGCAGGGACCGAGGCGTGAGAGGAGAGACGGTGAAGGCAAGGACCGAGGCGTGAGAGGCAGAACGGTGAAGGCAGGGACCGAGG